CTGGACACAGGACAGCAACGCGATGCTTGTCACCTGGTCACTGGGCAACAACGAGATGCTTGTCACCTGGTCACAGGACAGCAACGAGATGCTTCTCACCTGGTCACAGGAAAACAACGAGATGCTTGTCACCTGGTCACAGCTCAACAACGAGATGCTTGTCACCTGGTCACAGGGCAACGAGTTGCTTGTCACCTGGTCATACGGCAACGACGAGATGCTTGTCACCTGGTCATAGGGCAACAATGAGATGCTTGTCACCTGGTCACAGGGCAACAACGAGATGCTTGTCACCTGGTCACAGCTCAACACCGAGATGCTTGTCACCTGGTCACAGGACAGCAACGCGATGCTTGTCACCTGGTCACTGGGCAACAACGAGATGCTTGTCACCTGGTCACAGGACAGCAACGAGATGCTTCTCACCTGGTCACAGGAAAACAACGAGATGCTTGTCACCTGGTCACAGCTCAACAACGAGATGCTTGTCACTTGGTCAAAGGGCAACGAGTTGCTTGTCACCTGGTCATACGGCAACGACGAGATGCTTGTCACCTGGTCACAGGGCAACAATGAGATGCTTGTCACCTGGTCACAGGACAACAACGAGATGCTTGTCACCTTGTCACAGGACAGCAACGAGGTTCTTGTCACCTGTTCACAGGACAACAAGAGATGCTTGTCACCTGGACACAGGGCAACAATGAGATGCTTGTCACCTGGTCACAGGGCAACAACGAGATGCTTGTCACCTCGTCACAGGACAACAACGAGATGCTTGTCACTTTGTCACAGGACAGCAACGAGGTTCTTGTCACCTGTTCACAGGACAGCAACGAGATGCTTGTCACCTGGTCACAGGGCAACAACGAGATGCTTGTCACCTGGTCACAGGGCAACAACGAGATGCTTGTCACCTGTTCACAGGACAGCGACGAGATGCTTGTCACCTGGTCACAGGTCAACAACAAGGTGTTTGTCACCTGGTCACAGGGCAAGAACGAGATGCTTGTCACCTGGTCACAGGGCAAAAACGAGATGCTTGTCACCTGGTCACAGGACAACAACGAGATGCTTGTCACCTGGTCACAGGACAGCAACGAGATGCTTGTCACTTGGTCACAGGGCAACAACAAGATGTTTGTCACCTGGTCACAGGGCAACAACGAAATGCTTGTCACCTGGTCACAAGCAAGAGCGAGATGCTTTTCACCTGGTCACAGGACAACAACGAGATGCTTGTCACCTGGTCACAGGACAACAACGATATGCTTGTCACCTTGTCACAGGACAGCAACGAGATGTTTGTCACCTGGTCACAGGACAACAACGAGATGTTTGTCCTCTGGTCACAGGGCAACAACGAGATTCTTGTCACCTTGTCACAGGACAACAACGAGATGTTTGTCACCTGGTCACAGGACAACAACGAGATGTTTGTCCTATGGTCACAGGACAACAACGAGATGCTTGTCACCTGGTCACATAGCAACAACGAGATATTCGTCACTTGGTCACAGGGCAACAACGAGATGTTTGTCACCTGGTCACAGGGCAACAACGAGATGTTTGTTACCTGGTCACAGGGCAACAACGAGATGTTTGTTACCTGGTCACAGGACAACAACGAGATATTTGTCACCTGGTCACAGGGCAACAACGAGATGTTTGTTACCTGGTCACAGGGCAACAACGAGATGTTTGTTACCTGGTCACAGGACAACAACGAGATGCTTGTCACCTGGTCACAAGCAAGAACGAGATGCTTGTCATTTGGTCACAGGGCAACAACGAGATGCTTTTCACCTGGTCACAGGGCAACAACGAGATGTTTGTCACCTGGTCACAGGACAACAACGAGATATTTGTCACCTGGTCACAGGGGAACAACGAGTCACACCCAAGAAGTCACTTTCACATTGACTCACTAATTTTATTTATTGCATATTTACCAGGGTTGACTAGTCTAATAATAAAATAACGTGGCTTGGTCTCGAGTCGAAAGCTTGGAATTACCATACCTTTCATTTTACTGAAGATTCCACATCAGACCATTTTTTATAGATTATACACGTTAATATAGAGTCGTGAAGGTGGTATTAATATTATTGAAACGTCCTTCAGTTATCAGTGTGTTAGGCGAAACCTTGCTGGACTTTTTTTTTTCCAGCGTTGTATGACCCTTGTGTGTTTAGCTCTTAGTTATGATTGTAATAATAATAATAATAATAATAATAATAATAATAATAATAATAATAATAATAATAATAATAATATGGGGAAGAAGAGTTTTGAAAGTGGAATCCGAGTTCTTCAATATATTTCACGCTGAGTACAAGATTACAGTCATCTTAGTGGTATATATAACGCACACGTTATAAGGAATAAATAGCGACATAAGCAAATTTGCTGATGACACCAAAATAGGCCGTCCAATTCATTTTAATGAGGACACTAGAGCACTCCAGGATGATTTGAATAGACTGATGCAATGGTCGGAGAAGTGGCAGATGCAGTTTAATATTGATATATGCAAAGTTCTAAATGTTGGACAGGAAAATAAGCATGCCACATATAAACTAAATAATGTAGATCTTAATACTACTGATTGCGAAAAGGATTTAGGAGTTCTGGTTAGCAGTAATCTAAAACCAAGACAACAGTGCATTAGTGTTCGCAATAAAGCTAACAGAATTCTTGGCTTCATATCTAGAAGTATAAATAATAGAAGTCCTCAGGTTGTTCTTCAACTCTATACATCCTTGGTTTAGGCCTCATTTAGACTATGCTGCTCAGTTCTGGTCACCGTATTACAGAATGGATATAAATGCTCTGGAAAATGTACAGAGGAGGATGACGAAGATGATCCCATGTATCAGAAATCTTCCCTATAAGGATAGACTGAGGGCCCTGAATCTGCACTCTCTCGAAAGGCGTATAATTAGGGAGGATATGATCGAGGTGTATAAATGGAAAACAGGAATAAATAAAGGGGATGTAAATAGCGTGCTGAAAATTTCCAGCCCAGACAGCACTCGCAGCAATGGTTTCAAGTTGGAAAAATTCAGATTCAGGAAGGATATAGGAAAGCACTGGTTTGGTAATAGAGTTGTGGATGAGTGGAACAAACTCCCGAGTACAGTTATTGAGGCTAAAACGTTGTGTAGTTTTAAAAATAGGTTAAATAAATACATGAGTGGGTGTGGGTGGGTGTGAGTTGGACCTGACCAACTTGTGCTGCTGGGTCTGATGCCGTGCTCCATCCTTGAGTGGAGATGGCCAGACTGGGTGGGTCATTGGGCTACTCCGGGGGGGGGGGGTGCATTGGTCTAATTCGGAGGGGGACATGGACCTGCTCCTCATGGGTCAGTAGGCCTGTTGCAGTGTTCCTTCTTTCTTATGTTCTTATGTTCTTAACTGGCATTATGGGTAGAATGACGAGAGTCAACACGCAGATGAGCAATTTAGCGAAGCACTTTATTGAAGAACGTGCAAGAGGGTAGTGTACTGAAGTGATGGTATGTTGAATACTGTACATAGTTGTTATCTATGTGATCTGCGTTACTCTCGCTTCGTTCAGGAATATAAACACCGAGATGTGTATTTAAACAGAGTGGTATGTATCTTTATATATATATACACACACACACACAATATATATATATATATATATATATATATATAATATATATATATATATATATATATATATATAATATATAAATATATATATATATATATATATATATATATATAATATATATATATATATATATATATATATATATATATATATATATATATTATATATATATATATATATATAGAGAGAGAGAGAGAGAGAGAGAGAGAGAGTAATGAAATCACGAAACAAGCGATTTTAAATCATTTACCAAACTGCGGCAGTCAGTACTCGACCCTACGAACCTTATAACCGCGTCCAGAGACAGCACAATGTACGCATCACGAGAAAACCATGTAGCTCAGCTGCATGCGTGATTCTTGTAGGATCGCTGGCTCAAGTGGTTAGGCGATGTGTACATTGTGCTGTCTCTGGAGGCGGTATAAGGTTCGTAGGGTCGAGTCCTGGCCTGCCGGTGTTTGGTATATGATATATATATATATATATATATATATAATATATATATATATATATATATATATATATATATATAATATATATATATATATATATATATATATATATATACAGAGGCGTATATCTGGGTATATACACCGAGGTGTATATACCCCGAGGTATATACCACCTCATTGTTTAAACGCCGATGGGTGTATAGTTCTGTGTAAAAAATATATACAGGTACATATTTCTTAGGGTATACAAACTTGTACTTAGTTTAACCCTTGTTTTAGGGATTCAAGTATACCAGATGTTAATACCCTAACCCTGACCTCACATACAGTCTACAGTGCTCACCTGTAACTACATTCACCTGTAGTGTTTAAGGTAACACTGGCTTGGACGACTCCTCTTCCCGGAACAACTTCTAAAAAAAATAGCCAAGCATTATTTAATGATCTTTTTATTACTTTTTATAATTGAGAAGCTACTTAAATTTAAAAAAAAACAGGAAATAAAATAGGTTATGTACACAACATTTCTATTTCATAAAATTATTCTAATCATCGTCATCCCTACAACATCTTCCTTTCCCTCTTCTCCATCCAATATATCATGATGGTGACTCGTGCTTTATGACCAACATTTCAATTGTACATCAACACTTGGCGACGCTGGTACATGGCAGAGATACGTGATTTATTCGTAAAGATTACTGTTTTTTTTTTTTTTAAGTCAGGTCGGCTTATTTGACCGACTATTTCTAGCCTGGTATATACATATGTCCTCATATCTTTTACATTATACTGCTGCTCATATCCATATATTGTATAGCACACGTAGTATACTAGGATTACGCACCACATTTAATACATATTCGTGGAGAATATAGTGGGACTAACCGTGCTTGTGTTTGCAGCCGTGCCGCGGTAACTTCAGACAACCCTCCTGGTACACGCTACCAGAACTTACAGCAACGCCAGGGTAGCAGCAGCGGCCCCAGGAGAGAGAACGTCCCAGCACCTCACTATTGCGACGGTCAGGACGAGATTGGCTGCTTCCAGGTACCTAACTACTTAACCATACCACGGGTGGGGATAGAACCCGATTTCGTGAGTCATATTACCTAACTATTTCTTAAGAATAAAGGAATACTGTACCAGGCCTATCGGCCTGTACTAGACAGGTCTAACTCACACCCAACAACACCTACCTTGAGTTTATTCCGTTTATTTACAGTTCTGTGACAAACCAATATTTCCCTATATCCTTTCTAAATCCAAATTTCTTCACCTTAGATCCACTGCTGCGAGTTCTATCACTTTTAAATATTTTGAGCATATTGTTTATATCCTCATTATTTATTCCTTTTTTCCATTTACACACTTCAGTCATATCTTCCCTAATCGTACGCCTTTCCAGAGAATACAGATTCATGGCTTTCAGCTTACCTTCACAGGAAAGCTTTCTGATAACTGGAATCAACTTCGCCATCTTTCCCTGTATAATTTTCAGCCCACTTATGTCCATTATGTAATATGGTGGCCAGAAATGATCAATATAAAAGCTAACCTAAAATATACAACCTCAGGACTGCCGTTATTTATACTTCTTGATAGGTTCATCCCTTCTGTAAGTGGGATAGTATGTCACTATTCTTAGATTTACCCCTTGTCTCCTAGGATAAAACTCCTCACTCTCCTTAACGCCCTTGTTTAAGAAAGTATAAGAAAAAAGTATAAGTATCAAGGCTCTGGTAGCATTATCATGATAGTATAACAGCATGGTAGGGGCGTCAGGACCCTGACGGCAGCAGCGTCACGCTGCTGTGTCATGTAACTATAATAACATGGTACACAAATCTGGCTGCAGTGTTACTTTTACGTCTGCCGCCATAATTAAGGAATTTCTTTTTTACGCATGAACTATTTTTTCAGCTTTGCCACAGGTAATGATTAATGTGTGTGTGTGTGTGTGTGTGTGTGTGTGTGTGTGTGTGTGTGTGTGTGTGTGTGTGTGTGTGTGTGTCTGTGTGTCTGTGTGTGTCTGTGTGTGTCTGTGTGTGTGTAATAACAGTCAGCTCTCTTGCAAAGTTATTTTAGATACTGGAATTTTTTCTTGCAAAGGCAGGTGAAAAAGATCATCTATAATTGAACAGCACATACTATTAAAGCCTATTTATTTGATATTCAGTTTTGAATGCACTTTTTTGCAATCACATTTACAAAAAAAATCTCGCTATATAAAGAAGCTTTAAGACAGAACTTACTGTATAATGGACGTTTGTGTCAATGAAGAAATGCCATTTAGAAACCAATGTACAGAATAATGTGTTTTCTTCTTTACCTCTCACTAGACACCGATCTTCACTCCACACGACTAGTGGTCACTCCACTCACTCCACACGACTAGTGGTCACTCCACTCACTCCACACGACTAGTGGTCACTCCACTCACTCCACACGACTAGTGGTCACTCCACTCACTCCACACGACTAGTGGTCACTCCACTCACTCAACCGACTAGTGGTCACTCCACTCACTCCACACGACTAGTGGCACTCCACTCACTCCACACGACTAGTGGTCACTCCACTCACTCCACACGACTAGTGGTCACTCCACTCACTCCACACGACTAGTGGTCACTCCACTCACTCCACACGACTAGTGGTCACTCCACTCACTCCACACGGACTAGTGGTCACTCCACTCACTCCACACGACTAGTGGTCACTCCACTCACTCCACACGGACTAGTGGTCACTCCACTCACTCCACACGACTAGTGGTCACTCCACTCACTCCACACGACTAGTGGTCACTCCACTCACTCCACACGACTAGTGGTCACTCCACTCACTCCACACGACTAGTGGCCACTCCACTCACTCCACACGACTAGTGGTCACTCCACTCACTCCACACGACTAGTGGCCACTCCACTCACTCCACACGACTAGTGGCCACTCCACTCACTCCACACGACTAGTGGTCACTCCACTCACTCAACACGACTAGTGGTCACTCCACTCACTCCACACGACTAGTGGTCACTCCACTCACTCCACACGACTAGTGGTCACTCCACTCACTCCACACGACTAGTGGTCACTCCACTCACTCCACACGACTAGTGGTCACTCCACTCACTCCACACGACTAGTGGTCACTCCACTCACTCCACACGACTAGTGGTCACTCCACTCACTCCACACGACTAGTGGTCACTCCACTCACTCCACACGACTAGTGGTCACTCCACTCACTCACACGACTAGTGGTCACTCCACTCACTCCACACGACTAGTGGTCACTCACTCACTCCACACGACTAGTGGTCACTCCACTCACTCCACACGACTAGTGGTCACTCCACTCACTCCACACGACTAGTGGTCACTCCACTCACTCCACACGACTAGTGGCCACTCCACTCACTCCACACGACTAGTGGTCACTCCACTCACTCCACACGACTAGTGGTCACTCCACTCACTCCACACGACTAGTGGTCACTCCACTCACTCCACACGACTAGTGGTCACTCCACTCACTCCACACGACTAGTGGTCACTCCACTCACTCCACACGACTAGTGGTCACTCCACTCACTCCACACGACTAGTGGCCACTCCACTCACTCCACACGACTAGTGGTCACTCCACTCACTCCACACGACTAGTGGCCACTCCACTCACTCCACACGACTAGTGGCCACTCCACTCACTCCACACGACTAGTGGTCACTCCACTCACTCAACACGACTAGTGGTCACTCCACTCACTCCACACGACTAGTGGTCACTCCACTCACTCCACACGACTAGTGGTCACTCCACTCACTCCACACGACTAGTGGTCACTCCACTCACTCCACACGACTAGTGGTCACTCCACTCACTCCACACGACTAGTGGTCACTCCACTCACTCCACACGACTAGTGGTCACTCCACTCACTCCACACGACTAGTGGTCACTCCACTCACTCCACACGACTAGTGGTCACTCCACTCACTCCACACGACTGTGGTCACTCCACTCACTCCACACGACTAGTGGTCACTCCACTCACTCCACACGACTAGTGGTCACTCCACTCACTCCACACGACTAGTGGTCACCCCACTCACTTCCAACACGACTAGTGGTCACTCCACTCACTCCACACGACTAGTGGTCACTCCACTCACTCCACACGACTAGTGGTCACTCCACTCACTCCACACGACTAGTGGTCACCCCACTCACTCCACACGACTAGTGGTCACTCCACTCACTCCACACGACTAGTGGTCACTCCACTCACTCAACACGACTAGTGGTCACTCCACTCACTCCACACGACTAGTGGTCACTCCACTCACTCAACACGACTAGTGGTCACTCCACTCACTCAACACGACTAGTGGTCACTCCACTCACTCCACACGACTAGTGGTCACTCCACTCACTCAACACGACTAGTGGTCACTCCACTCACTCAACACGACTAGTGGTCACTCCACTCACTCAAAACGACTAGTGGTCACTCCACTCACTCAACACGACTAGTGGTCACTCCACTCACTCAACACGACTAGTGTCACCCCATCACTCAACACGACTAGTGGTCACTCCACTCACTCAACACGACTAGTGGTCACTCCACTCACTCAACACGACTAGTGGTCACCCACTCACTCCACACGGACTAGTGGTCACTCCACTCACTCAACACGACTAGTGGTCACTCCACTCACTCCACACGACTAGTGGTCACTCCACTCACTCAACACGACTAGTGGTCACTCCACTCACTCCACACGACTAGTGGTCACTCCACTCACTCAACACGACTAGTGGTCACTCCATCACTCAACACGACTAGTGGTACACTCCACTCACTCCACACGACTAGTGGTCACTCCACTCACTCAACACGACTAGTGGTCACTCCACTCACTCAACACGACTGGTGGTCACTCCACTCACTCAACACGACTAGTGGTTACTCCACTCACTCCACACGACTAGTGGTCACTCCACTCACTCCACACGACTAGTGGTCACTCCACTCACTCCACACGACTAGTGGTCACTCCACTCACTCCACACGACTAGTGGTCACTCCACTCACTCCACTCACTCCACACGACTAGTGGTCACTCCACTCACTCCACACGACTAGTGGTCACTCCACTCACTGAACACGACTAGTGGTCACTCCACTCACTCCACACGACTAGTGGTCGCTCCACTCACTCCACACGACTTGTGGTCACTCCACTCACTCATCACGACTAGTGGTCACTCCACTCACTCCACACGACTAGTGGTCACTCCACTCACTCCACTTACTCAACACGACTAGTGGTCACTCCACTCACTCCACACGACTAGTGGTCACTCCACTCACTCCACACGACTAGTGGTCACTCCACTCACTCCACACGACTAGTGGTCACTCCACTCACTCCACACGACTAGTGGTCACTCCACTCACTCCACACGACTAGTGGTCACTCCACTCCACACGACTAGTGGTCACTCCACTCACTCCACACGACTAGTGGTCACCCCACTCACTCAACACGACTAGTGGTCACTCCACTCACTCATCACGACTAGTGGTCACTCCACTCACTCCACACGACTAGTGGTCACTCCACTCACACCACTCACTCCACTCACTCCACACGACTAGTGGTCACTCCACTCACTCCACTCACTCCACACGACTAGTGGTCACTCCACTCACTCCACACGACTAGTGGTCACTCCACTCACTGAACACGACTAGTGGTCATCCACTCATCCACACGACTAGTGGTCGCTCCACTCACTCCACCGACTTGTGGTCACTCCACTCACTCATCACGACTAGTGGTCACTCCACTCACTCCACACGACTAGTGGTCACTCACTCACTCCACTTACTCAACACGACTAGTGGTCACTCCACTCACTCCACACGATAGTGGTCACTCCACTCACTCCACACGACTAGTGGTCACTCCACTCACTCCACACGACTAGTGGTCACTCCACTCACTCCACACGACTAGTGGTCACTCCACTCACTCCACACGACTAGTGGTCACTCCACTCCACGACTAGTGGTCACTCCACTCACTCCACACGACTAGTGGTCACCCCACTCACTCAACACGACTAGTGGTCACTCCACTCACTCATCACGACTAGTGGTCACTCCACTCACTCCACACGACTAGTGGTCACTCCACTCACACCACTCACTCCACTCACTCCACACGACTAGTGGTCACTCACTCACTCCACACGACTAGTGGTCACTCCACTCACTCACACGACTAGTGGTCACTCCACTCACTCCACACGACTAGTGGTCGCTCCACTCACTCCACACGACTAGTGGTCACTCCACTCACTCATCACGACTAGTGGTCACTCCACTCACTCCACACGACTAGTGGTCACTCCACTCACTCCACACGACTAGTGGTCACTCCACTCCACACGACTAGTGGTCACTCCACTCACTCCACACGACTAGTGGTCACCCCACTCACTCAACACGACTAGTGGTCACTCCACTCACTCATCACGACTAGTGGTCACTCCACTCACTCCACACGACTAGTGGTCACTCCACTCACTCCACTCACTCCACTCACTCCACACGACTAGTGGTCACTCCACTCACTCCACACGACTAGTGGTCACTCCACTCACTCAACACGACTAGTGGTCACTCCACTCACTCCACACGACTAGTGGTCGCTCCACTCACTCCACACGACTAGTGGTCACTCCACTCACTCATCACGACTAGTGGTCACTCCACTCACTCCACACGACTAGTGGTCACTCCACTCACTCCACTTACTCAACACGACTAGTGGTCACTCCACTCACTCCACACGATAGTGGTCACTCCACTCACTCAACACGATAGTGGTCACTCCACTCACTCCACACGACTAGTGGTCACTCCACTCACTCCACACGACTAGTGGTCACTCCACTCACTCCACACGACTAGTGGTCACTCCACTCACTCATCACGACTAGTGGTCACTCCACTCACTCCACACGACTAGTGGTCACTCCACTCACTCCACTTACTCAACACGACTAGTGGTCACTCCACTCACTCCACACGACTAGTGGTCACTCCACTCACTCAACACGACTAGTGGTCACTCCACTCACTCCACACGACTAATGGTCACTCCACTCACTCCACACGACTAGTGGTCACTCCACTCACTCCACACGACTAGTGGTCACTCCACTCCACACGACTAGTGGTCACTCCACTCACTCCACACGACTAGTGGTCACCCCACTCACTCAACACGACTAGTGGTCACTCCACTCACTCCACACGACTAGTGGTCACTCCACTCACTCCACACGACTAGTGGTCACTCCACTCACTCCACACGACTAGTGGTCACCCCACTCACTCAACACGACTAGTGGTCACTCCACTCACTCAACACGACTAGTGGTCACCCCACTCACTCAACACGACTAGTGGTCACTCCACTCACTCAACACGACTAGTGGTCACCCCACTCACTCAACACGACTAGTGACCACTCCACTCACTCAACACGACTAGTGGTCACCCCACTCACTCCACACGACTAGTGGTCACTCCACTCACTCCACACGACTAGTGGTCACTCCACTCACTCCACACGACTAGTGGTCACCCCACTCAACACGACTAGCAGTCACTCAACACAACTAGCAGTCACTTCACTGAACACGACTAGCAGTCACTCCACTCATGCAACACAACTAGCGGTCACTCCAGTCAACACAATAGCAGTCACTCCACTCATTCAACACAAATAGCAGTCACTCCACTCATTCAACACAACTAGCGGTCACTCCAGTCACTCAACACGACTAGCAGTCACTCTACTCACCTTGTTTGTCTTTTATGTCTCTAGGTCCGTCTCTACTACGACTGGTTCCTCATCCCTGGCTCCTGCAAGTGCTGGAAACAAGACTATTTCGCTCAGTTCGCCTACAGGAAATGAAATATGAACAAGGATCTGACTAGACATTTTTCATACAAAATATAATATTTATCAAGTGCTGGACAAGCATATGATATAACCATTGTTAAGTGTTGGACGTTGAATACATGACACAACCTTTGTTAAGTTGGACGTTGAATACATTACATAACCATTGTTAAGTAATGGACATTGAATACATGACACAATCTTTGTTAAGCGCTGGACGCTGAATATATGACACAGCCTTTGATAAGTGCTGGACGTTGAATATATGACAATCATTGTTAAGTGCTAGACGTTGAATACATGACAAAGCCTTTGTTAAGTGTTGGATGCTGAATACATGACACAACCATTGTCAAGGATTGGACAAACACCTAATACAATTATTGTTAAGTACATGACACTAGACACTTAATACAACCATTAACAGGTGTTGGACACACTATATATACCTATTGTCAAGGGTTAAACGTATACCAACAAAAACAAGTTCTGGACACACGGAAAAATGATACATAAACTACCAGGTCGTAGAAACACAACACACAAGAAGAAGCGATTGTTTAGCCCACCACTTCCTTTGCATAAGACAGACATTGCAGAATCTTCAGAAAGCCGACGGTTGCAGATGCTGCTAATTTCTGTGCTAAGAGAAAAGATGTGTCAGCATTACATTTCTGTTATCATTAAACCAACACCTCTCCTGCTATAGTAAATTATGTTGCAAAATATCTGTGTTAATAAATCACCGATACATGGGAGGAATCAAACTGAAGCCAGCAGTGGACCCTTTTCTCTGTGCTCAGTGAAAAGCTGCCAACGTTCGTCCTTCCACAACCTGAAGCTGGTCCTGGCACACAATGACGCAGTACATTAATCAGGAAATAGGTGGGGCTTGAACCCATGGCAAGTGAGTCCTAACACTGACAGGCCACGGTTCCGAGGTTTGTTTGCAGTTACGTTATTACGATTTCGTGAGTCACATAGTAATACATCCTTTGACCATCAAAATTTAGTCATTAGCCCCTATACACTCCAGGCTCAAGGATGTAGACTTGTGTTGGTGTCTGAGGTTTCCTGGGTATATCAACGTCCAGGGTAATTAGGAGGCACATATGGAAGCAAAGGCTAGTGAATCAAGTGTTCTCTACAGTAGGTTTTTGCCTCATATTGACTTTCCGGGCTGAGCGCAAGGTTATATAATGGGGAATTGGTAGTCCTTGTGGGCCCTGCAGATGAGCAGCACCCGTATATGTTTCAGCTTGACAGTGTCTCGTTCTCCTCTTTCCCACAAGAACCAACATTATATGATCCTCCGCAGGTTGAGGACAGGGTACACACACCTCCCTCGTGTGCTTGAGGGCACTTTTGCTCATCACTCTGAACATTTTAATAATCTTTCTTAGGTTCTGTTCTCACTGGTTTAATCATGGGCTTTATAATTTTATCCCCGTGGTGCCTGTAGAGACCTCCGGGACATTTTAGGAGACATTATAGAGTGGTTTACCTTGTGACATTTAATTGAATAGTGCTCATTTACAACCATTTGTTTTATTCTTTTAATGTCTAAAAGTCTGGTATTGTTATTTTTATTTGTGATATATCAGTGTGTGTGTGTGTGTGTGTGTGTGTGTGTGTGTGTGTGTGTGTGTGTGTGTGTGTGTGTGTGGTGTGTGTGTGTGTGTGTGTGTGTGTGTGTGTGTGTGTGTGTGTGTGTGTGTGTGTGTGTGGTGTGTGTGTGTGTGTGGTGTGTGTGTGTGTGTGTGGTGTGTGTGTGTGTGTGTGTGCGTGTGTGTGTGTGTGTGTGTGTGTGTGTGTGGTGTGTGTGTGTGTGTGTGTGGTGTGTGTGTGTGTGTGTGTGTGTGTGGTGTGTGTGTGTGTGTGTGTGTGTGTGTGTGTGTGTGTGTGTGTTGTGTGTGTGTGTGTGTGGTGTGTGTGTGTGTGTGTGTGTGTGTGTGTGTGTGTGTGTGTGTGTGTGTGTGTGTGTGTGTGTGTGTGTGTGTGTGTGTGTGTGTGTGTGTGTGTGTGTGTGTGTGTGGTGTGTGTGTAGGTGTGTGTGTGTGTGTGTGTGGGTGTGTGTGTGTGTGTGTGTGTGTGGTGTGTGTGTGTGTGTGTGTGTGTGTGTGTGTGTGTGTGTGTGTGGTGTGTGTGTGTGTGTGTGTGTGTGGTGTGTGTGTGTGTGTGTGTGTGTGTGTGTGTGTGTGTGTGTGTGTGTGTGTGTGTGTGTGTGTGTGTGTGTGTGTGTGTGTGTGTGTGTGTGTACTCACCTAATTGTGGTTGCAGGGGTCGAGGCTCAGTTCCTGGCACCGTGTGTGTGTGTGTGTGTGTGTGTGTCTGTGTGTGTACTCACCTAATTGTGGTTGCAGGGGTCGAGACTCAGCTCCTGTGTACTCACCTATTTGTACTCACCTTTTTGTGGTTGCAGGGGTCAAGTCATAGCTCCTGGCCCCGCCTCTTCACTGATTGCTACTAGGTCCTCTCTCTCCCTGCTCCATGAGCTTTATCATACCTCGCCTTAAAACTATGTATGGTTCCCGCCTCCACTACGTCACTTTCTAGGCTATTCCACGGCCTGACTACTCTATGACTGAAGAAATACTTCCTAACATCCCTTTGATTCATCTGAGTCTTCAACTTCCAATTGTGACCTCTTGTTTCTGTGTCCCATCTCTGGAACATCCCGTCTTTGTCCACCTTGTCTATTCCGCGAAGTATTTTATATGTCGTTATCATGTCTCCTCTGACCCTCCTGTCCTCCAGTGTCGTCAGGCCGATTTCCCTCAACCTAACTTCGTAGGACAATCCCCTTAGCTCTGGGACTAGTCTTGTTGCAAACCTTCGCACTTTCTCTAATTTCTTGACGTGCTTGACCAGGTGTGGATTCCAAACTGGTGCTGCATACTCCAGTATGGGCCTGACGTAAATGGTATACAGAGTCGAACGATTCCTTACTGAGGTATCGGAATGCTATCCGTAGGTTTGCCAGACGCCCGTATGCTGCAGCAGTTATCTGACTGATGTGCTCCTCAGGAGATATGCTCGGTGTTATACTTACCCCCAGATCTTTTTCCTTTAGTGAGGTTTGCAGTCTTTGGCCATCTAGACTATATTGTGTCTGCGGTCTTCTTTGCCCTTCCCCAATCTCTTTTTCCCTGGTCTCTTTGTAGTCCTGCCTGATCCTTGTCCGATTTGATTCTTCTCATTAACTTCACATCATCTGCAAACAAGGACACTTCTGAGTCTATCCCTTCCATTATGTCATTCACATATACCAAAAACAGCACAGGTCCTAGGACTAACCCCTGTGGAACCCCGCTTGTCACAAGCGCCCACTCTGACACCTCATCACGTACCATGACTCGTTGTTGCCTCCCTGTCAGGTATTCTCTGATCCATTGCAGTGCCTTTCCTGTTATGTGTGCCTGATCCTCTAGTTTTTGCAGTAACCTCTTGTGAGGAACTGTGTCGAAGGCCTTCTTGCAGTCCAAAAAAATGCAGTCGATCCACCCCTCTCTCTCTTGTCTTACTTCTGTCACCTTGTCATAAAACTCCAGTAGGTTTGTGACACAGGATTTTCCTTCCCTGAAACCGTGCTGGTCGTCAATTATACACTTGTTTCTTTCCAGGTGCTCCACCACTCTCCTCCTGATGATCTTCTCCATGACTTTGCATACTATACACGTTAGTGATACAGGTCTGTAGTTTAGTGCCTCATGTCTGTCTCCCTTTTTAAAAATTGGGACTACATTTGCCATCTTCCATACCTCAGGGAGTTGCCCAGTTTCAATGGATGTGTTGAAGATCTTTGTTAATGGCACACACAGCATCTCTGCTCCCTCTCTAAGGACCCACAGAGAGATGTTGTCTGGTCCCACCGCCTTTGAGGTGTCAAGTTCACATAGCAGCTTCTTCACCTCCTCCTTGGTTATGTGTACCTCATCCAGCACTTGTTGGTGTACCCCCTTGTTCTGATTTCCTGGAGTCCTACTGGTTTCCACTGTAAATACTTCTTTAAATCTCGTGTTGAGCTCCTCACATACCTCTCGGTCGTTTCTTGTGAGCTCCCCATCACGTTCCTCATTCTGATTACCTGGTCCTTGACTGTTGTTTTCCTCCTGATGTTGCTATACAACAGCTTCGGGTCAGACTTGACTTTCGATGCTATGTCATTTTCATATTGTCGCTGAGCCTCCCTTCTTGTCTGTGCATATTCGTTTCTGGCTCTTCGGCTAATCTCTTTATTTTCCTGAGTTCTCTGTCTTCTGTACCTTTTCCATTCTCTAGTACACCTAGTTTTTGCCTCCCTACACCTTTAGGTGAACCAAGAACTCGTTCTGTTCTTCCCATTATTTCTGATTCCCTTGGGAACAAACCTCTTCTCTGCCTCCTTGCATTTTGTTGCCACATAGTCCATCATATCTTGTACTGGTTTTCCTGTCAGTTCCCTCTCCCACTGAATGTCTTGAAGGAAGTTCCTCATGCCTGAGTAGTTCCCCCTTTTGTAGTTTGGTTTTTCCCACCCTATTCCTGCTACTCTCTCCACTTGAAGCTCAACTATGTAGTCAAAGCACAGCACCACATGATCACTAGCTCCCAGGGGCCTTTCATACATGATATCCTCGATGTCCGAACTACTCAAGGTGAATACAAGGTCCAGTCTTGCTGGATCATCCTCACCTCTCTCTCTGGTAGTGTCTCTAACATGTTGGTTTGTGTGTGTGTGTGTGTGTGTGTGTGTGTGTGTGTGTACTCACCTAATTGTGTTTGCAGGGGCCGAGACTCAGCTCCTGGCCCTGCCTCTTCACTGATCATTACTAGGTCCTCTCCCTCTCTGCTTCCTGAGCTTTGTCATACCTCTTCTTAAAACTATGTATGGTTCCTGCCCCCACTACTTCACTTGCTAGGCTATTCCACTTCCTGACGACTCTATGACTGAAGAAATACTTCCTAACGTTCTGTGACACGTCTGAGTCTTCAGCTTCCAGTTGTGACCCCTTGTTTCTGTGTCCCCTCTCTGGAACATCCTATCTCTGTCCACCTTTTCTATTCCCCGCAGTATCTTGTATGTCGTTATCATGTCTCCCCTGACCCTTCTGTCCTCCAGTGTCGTCAGTCCGATTTCCCTCAACCTTTCCTCGTACGACATTCCCCTGAGCTCTGGGACTAGCTTTGTTGCAAACCTTTGTACTTTCTCTAACTTCTTGACGTGCTTGACCAGGTGTGGGTTCCAGACTGGTGCTGCATATTCCAGTATGGGCCTAACATACAGTGTACAGTGTCTTGAACGGTTCCTTATTAAGGTATCGGAACGCTATTCTCAGGTTTGCCAGGCGCCCGTATGCTGCAGCAGTTATTTGGTTGATGTGTGCCTCCGGTGACGTGCTCGGTGTTATGGTCACCACAAGGTCTTTCTCCCTGAATGAGGTCTGTAGTCTTTGTCCACCTAGCCTATACTCTATCTGCGGTCTTCTTTGCCCCTCCCCAATCTTCATGACTTTGCATTTGGCAGGGTTGAATTCGAGAAGCCAGTTTCTGGACCACATGTCCAGCCTGTCCAGGTCTCTTTGCAGTCCTGCCTCATCCTCATCCGATTTAATTCTTCTCATCAGCTTCACATCATCTGTGAATAGGGACACTTCAGAGTTTATTCATTCCATCATGTCGTTCGCTTATATCAAAAATAGCACTGGACCTAGAACTGACCCCTGTGGGACCCCGCTCGTCACAGGCGCCCACTGTGATACCTCTTCACGTACCATGACTCGTTGTTGCCTCCCTGTCAGGTATTCCCTGATCCATTGCAGTGCCCTCCCTGTTATAAGTGCCTGATCCTCCAGCTTCTGCACTAATCTCTTGTGGGGAACTGTGTCAAAGGCCTTCCTGCAGTCTATGAAAATGCAATCAACCCATCCCTCTCTCTCGTGTCTTACTTCTGTTACCTTGTCATAAAACTCCAGAAGGTTTGTGACACAGGATTTGCCTTCCATGAACCCATGCTGGTTTTCATTTATCATCTTGTTCCGTTCCAGGTGTTCCACCACTCTCCTCCTGATAATCTTCTCCATGACTTTGCACACAATACATGTCAGAGACACAGGTCTGTAGTTTAGTGCCTCATTTCTGTTTCCTTTCTTAAATATGGGGACTACATTTGCTGTCTTCCATTTCTCAGGTAGTTGCCCAGTTTCAAGGGATGTGTCGAAGATTGTGGTTAGGGACACGCATAGCATATCTGCTCCTTCTCTAAGGGTCCACGGGGAGATGTTGTCCGGTCCCATCGCCTTTGAGGTATCAAGGTCACTTAGCAGCTTCTGCACCTCCTCCTCGGTTGTTCGTATGTCATCCAACACTTGTTGGTATATTCCCTCTTGATGTTCCCTTCTGTGCTGTCTTCCCAGAGCCCTTCCTGTCTCTACTGTAAAA